ATATAACCTCTTAGTAAGAGAGAGAGAGAGAGAGAGATTCATTTCAATAAAAAAAAACATTTCAAAAATAACAAAAGATTCCTTCGAGCCGGATTTGAACCAGCGACCTATGGATGTCCGATTTAATCCTTCCAACTACAGTCCACCGCTCTACCAACTGAGCTATCGAAGGTACTTGAGGAATCTCACCGAAGAATTTATTATATCATAGAACTTAAATTACATTACTAACCTAAAATTTGTAAGCACTAAAATATCTTTATCCAAGACAAAAAGCAATTTAAGTTAATTAACAAATAATTGTTCTACAATATAAAAAGATTAGATTCTATATTGTAAACTATTCTTTAAATGTGTGTCAGTAAATATTTTAAAAACAATTTTTCTTATTAATAAGTTGTTGATAAAATATTTATATTTACACATAAACTATTTTATACAAAAAATTATATAAATATTTGCTACATTTTTTTGGAAGAGAAAATAATTATTTAGAAAAAAATATATAATATATTAATTTTTCTCTGTACTAACATAAACAATAAATTATTATTTTAAAAGCTTTGTCATTATTTTTAATAACAAAAAATTAAAATTTTTATAATAATTAAATTTTGATTGTCATTGGCGACAATCTGCAAATGCTGCTCATACATTTTATATAATTAATAAATTATCAACGTAATATCGATAATTTTGTAATAAATGGGTCACGACATTTTACTATAGAGAATTTGACTAAAATGATTTAAAGGCTATTTAATTAATAATGTTCGGGAACCGTCGACCTTTCTTGATAATGTCATAGCATTATTATGCAACAGCACGAGTTCTCTTTCTTTGAATATTCGTCACTTCACTGCTTATTATTCGAGAAAATGTCTCGAGATCGTTCACTTTATAAATATGGAGCTTGATTTAAATATCAGAAAATTCACACAGATAAAACAATAAATATTACAACACAACATCCGAATGCATTATAACAAACAGCTGATTATGTTATCGTCGTCATTTTGATATCAATTGAAGTCTTTAATGTTTATTATTATTTGTCATAACTGCAGCTTGTTTGCTGAGAATTTAATAAGTAAAATATAATATGAAATTAGAATATAATGTCGAAAAGCTGTTTAGTAAAATATATAATCCGCATCATTTTACTTACTGTTATTTAAATTACGCATATAAATTGAAAGAAACAAATTAATGTGTAAATTTAAGTTTAAATTTACACATTAATTTCATTTTGAATTAATTTAATTAATATTAATAAATTAAAAAAAAATTTAAATATTCTTATGTATTGTTAAATTCTAACGGGTTTTTATTATTAAAAATAACAAAAACGTAAAATATGAAAATCAGAACAATTCTATGTGATAATAAAATAGTGTTCCGTATACAGCAGAAAAAAAAAATAGTTACCTGCGACCGTGACAGGACTCGAACCTGCAATCTTCGGATCCGAAGTCCGACGCCTTATCCATTAGGCCACACGGTCAGTTGTAAGCTGTGACTTCAACTCAGAATATCAGGGAATTTGGTCAATTTTCTCGTCACATATTCAGCTTAAAATATAAAAATTAATATGATTTTATGTATAAATGTAACTGAAAAAATTATATAACGCGTTCCATAACATTACAATTGGCTATTTTTTACAACATTGTTGTATGTATATTTATTCCTTCCTCAACAAATGATCAATTATGCATTCATATCATAAATGATATGTATATATTTATTGTCAAACGCAACACTATTAATTTAAATTTTATATTCAAAAGTTTTTAACAATTATAGAATTTTATAAGTAAAATTATTTATTTATCGTATTACTATTATATCGTATCATCATTGGCAATAGATAAATTTTTTCGTAACCTAACTGTAGAATACGGATGATAGAACGTTATTATCGAACATTCTCTAGTCTCCAACAGATGGCAGTGTATGTTCAAATTTTGATTGAGCGGAAATCTACAGCGGAACGGAACAGCGAGACCAATCACAATCGCAGAAAGTAAAGTAGCGGAATGATTGTAGAGAGTTCTGATTGGTTTCACTGTTCCGTTCCGCTGTAATTTCCGATGTGACTCCAGCCTGATTGGTTAATTTATACAACTACACTTACGCAATTGTAGATCGGGCTTTACAATTATATTTACGCGATTGTAGAATGGGCTGCATTATAGGAACACTAAAATTTTGAGCATTGGAAATTTTTGGTTAAGTTATCAATTGCGTGTGTATGTTTGTGAGTGTGATTTGTCAAAGTTATACTCGAACAATACTGAAAGTCACTTGTGGTCACTTGGTCACTGTAATAATGACAACACCCCTTCAAACGCAGCTTTTGAGCGCTTTAGGGAACAAAACAAAATATCTTGCGGAATTAAAAAAAACATTTGCGCGCCCACTAATACAACGTGAGTTATTATTACTTTTATTAAATGCAAACTAAAATTATTATTTAAAAATATGTAATTGAATTAAATATATAAAAATTAAATTGAAACATTAAGTTAATATTACGTAAAATCTGCATAATTATATAGTAACAAGAATAAGAGATCTATGTAATTCACATAATAACTGTTTAAAATATATAGTTGCAGTAAAAGCAATAGAATTAGAACATATAGAAGAAGGTATTCTCGAACGGATAAGTAAAAAATATAACATACCTGAAGAACATGTAGATGAATATTATGCAGCTATTCTTACAATTTTGAAAATATATCTACGTTCGCAATGCCATAATATTAAGCCTGTGGAATTTAAACAATGCTTAGAAGAATTAAAGTAAGTGTACATACATATATATATTAGATTCTTTGGCTCGTATGGCTTGTATAGCTTATAACAATATTTATATTTTCATATAACAAATAAGTTTATTTATCTATAACAACAATTATAACAAATAATTTTAATGATATATTTTTTTCTTATAACAGCATCAAAAATTTATATAAAATTTTTCTTAGCTATTTTTTTAATACATATTACAGATTGAATTCAGAATGTGTGGAAGATCTATCCTCTGTAATTTATGGTCCAAAACAAACAGACTTATTATTAGGTTTGATTCAAAGAACAAAATTTAATCTACAACTTATATCCTGTAAATGGCGTGTAGATATTATTATCTCATCAAAGTATGTTTGGATTCTTTTAGTAGATATTTATCATAAAATATTTTATAGAGAATTCTCTAATATTTTTTTCTATATATATTACAGCATACTAAACAGAGTACTAGAGCCAACTATTATGATGGAATGGAATTTCAATACAGGTGAATGTGTGTCTTTTGAATTATCTTTAGCAAAGTTTCATCAATTGAGACATACTATAGCTACCATTCTCGTTGAGTTACAAGCACTAGAGCGGCATAGCATTTTTAAGACTATTCTATCTAGCTGATAGTAACAATCTATTACAATTGATAGTTACTAAGAGCAATTTTGAAGTATCAGGGTGTTGCTTGATAATGATTTATAAATTCTAAGCCATATGAGAATATATAAATATGTTTTTTTTTCTACTTGTTTATATCCAATTTATTGTATTACAGATGTAAAAATTATTTACATTAAAATTATAAGTAAAAATTGTTTATATTATTATTATTATTATATTATTTTTAAAACTCTGACATTTCATAAATGTTTTTTAAATAATTTTTAATATAAAAATACAAATGTCGGATCAATAATATGAAAACATATTTCTCTTTCATGCGTTGTTTTTTTTTATCGAACTTTATATTCTCATATATTTTTTTTATTTAGAGCTGATTTCTTCAAACAGAAGAAGAAAAATATCTGTTTAAAATTCTGATATAAAACGTTTTTAGCATTTCTGTAACATCTTGATTGAAGAAAAAGAAGCAACTTGTCTTGTATGATTGTAACGTTTAGTTTTTAGACTACTTTAGACCATTATAAACTTTTACTTCGTGTAGTTTTCAAAGCTCTTGAACTTTATGTAAAACTTTTTGCTTTCCTTTTAAACGATCAATAAGTAGTTTAATCTGTTTTTGATTCACATATAATTTTTCTTGTATCTTTTATTCATATTATATAAATCTTAAATCACTCTCTTCAAGCTTCTTTTCTGTTTTATTATTTTTTTCATAATGTCTCATATTACTCAGCAATTTATTTTTATGTATACTATTCAATATAAGTTGTCATTCTTGTCCATTAACTGCATTCCATTTTTCTCTTCAGCTATTATGTCTTCAGACTTGCCAATAACTTATTTTTTTATTAGTTAATATAGTCTTCAGCCATGGTACATATATTTATATATTTATTTATTTTTTTAATACATATTGTACGTATATTTCAATTGTTTATTTTCTAATAATTTTTATTTTGACAATAATTGCAATAATTTTTCACAATAATTATTTAAAATATCTTATTGCAAATCTTAAAAATAAAAATCAATAGTCGGCAGTTTGCAACTGAGAAATGTTGGGATTACAGCTATTTTATAGCAGGAACAATTATCTCATTCTATCTTACAACAAGAAAATGATTTTTTATTATCAATTTTGTAATAGTTGAGTGCTACATACAAGATGATTTAGGATCAAGAAAGTACAAGAATAAAATTAAAGAAAATACAATGAATTGGAAAAATGAAATGAGTTATTTTAATCTAGTGTACATCTTATGTATACAGTTTGCCACATAAATAGCAATAAAAACAGAATGTACATATATATGTATATAAAAATGTATTGCTTTATATAGTTTTATTTTATTCAAGTAACATGTGTGTGACTATTTGTATTTAAAACATTCAGAATTCATTTATAAAATAATTTTAAACTATCCTATTCGATTATACTTAGCAAAAAATCAAATCAAAAATATATAAGGCAAATAACGGTATATAAAATTTAAGCAATAAAATTAAGGAAAATAAAATTAAAAAGATACAATTTTTGTATTTATTAATACCTAAAGAGAATACGCTTATTACGTTCTAATTCCCGAATCACATATTTTTTGCACTCTTAAACGGAAATATATATCTAAAATAAGATTTATTAAGTTTGTCCTATGATCCTGTAATGGTTTTTGTGTCAACATATGTAATACATTATCGAATATATCTGATGTTACATAAGTAAAAGCGACTTTAATGAGTTTTTTTATTGGATATTGTACTTTTAATATTTTTAGATGTCCTCTTATTATTGTTTCTGCAATGTAACAAATTTTAACTACATCATTGGATGCTACAGACATGTTACAGTTACATTTTCTTTTTTCCTCATTTTTTCCAACTTTTTTTTCGCATTCTCCTTTTTTCTCCTTTCCTTGTTTTCTAACTGACTCCTCAATTGAATTATTTTTGGTAATTGACTTATTAGTATCAAATAACAAATGTTTACAAATTTTGCAATTAATTTGTGTTGCCACTGATTGAGCTACAGTGCTAGATAACTTTGTTGCCTCCTTTGTAACATAATCCGATATATAACATTCATTGCTAATAAATTTACTTTCTGATTCTTCCTGATTGATATGTTTCATTGATTTTTTATTGCTTTTTTTCTTTATAGTTGGGATATCCATAGTTTTATTATATAACATATCTGCAAGTAAGCAATAAATAAATCTTAAAAGATAAAAATATAAATGATACAAACATAATTTTAAATTCATGTTATTTTACCTGTGAGTAATATTTATTATTGATATTTAATGTTTAGTTGACATTTTTTTCAATCTAACTAATATTGACTTTGTCACATTCCTGTAACCGTTTTTAAACATTAAAAAAACAAAATATTAAATTAATAAAAATATTCAATTAATATATGATTGATGATCTTATATCTTAATAACACATCTCTTATTTATTGTTAAATAAAAGATAAAATTATGCTTACTAATCCTTTGCTAATTTTGAATGTTCTTTTAAAGGCATATCAAATATGATACATATAACATTAGATTTTAAAAATCTTACCAGAATATGCTACCAAAAAAATTCTTTGGATTTTTAGATAATGTTGGTGTATATCCATATAACCTTGGCTTCATAAGTGTAAAGTTTCAATGTACTTATTAATTTCCGTTGTGCATTGTTTTTCTTGAACCTCAATTGTTGACAGCTTTAAAATAATTATAATTAAATTAAAATATTAGTTTTGCAATAAGCTATGTAATATAAGTTTTTATAATTAAGTGAAATTTATATTTGTACACACATAAATACATAATACACATACCTATATATAGTCTACATAGATCAATGAAAGAGAAATTGGATTATGCCTACAACAATTTGAATATTTATCCAATTTCAGTCTAGCCTCTTCTTCAAAGTGGTTTCCTCCCAAACAGCAAATCATGAAATTTATTGTTACCAGATCGTACCAATCAAGTTGTTGTCAATCCACATCTGATAGCAAATTGATGCTGATTGATGTCTTCACAATAAACTTTAAATAGTGATAACAACTTGCTGGTAACTAATGGATGCGTTCCAATTTCTGTATGATGAGCATGATGTATCATTTAATCCTTGTTGTTCATCAAATATTAAATAAAAGGATAAAATGACAGTGTAAAACGGAAATAAACCCTATGTTAGGATCCGAAATGTTACTGCGAGCACGCTATCTCGAATTCTCGACGCTATGATATGGAATAAGTAGCATTTTAAATTTCCTTTTAATTCCTGTGTCCACGCATGGTCGAATCGAGCTCTAGCACCGTGGATCATCTGTTTTTTATTCCTGCACTGTCTGGCCGCACGGTGCAATAAGTTAAAATGAAACAAGCGTATATTTGTTTCACTTCAACTTATTGCACCGTGTGTACTAGTTCAGACAGTGCAGGAACAAAAAACAAACTCAAGGCTGCTCGTATCCATGACAAATATTCGTCCGGTTCTGCGCAGGACTGAATTCCGCCATTTTGCATCACACAACGATGACGCATGAGTGTGTGCATGGTGTGTACATATACGGTTGTGTATTTTTTAAGTTGTAAGAGACTGCGACTCCCAGAGATATAATACTCCGAAGATGCCATCGTGTGCAATAAAGAATTGTAAAAATACATCCACGAAGAAACGAAAATTGAGTTTCTTTTCTTTTCCGAAAGCTCCGGAAATGATTGAAAAATGGAGAGCTGTATGCAAAGAAAATGTGAACCCTAAAAATGGTGAGTATATTTTCCTATTTTCATTTTATGTAGTGTTAGAAGAGTGTATTTATTCAGTAATTGTTTTTTTGTTAATTCAGGTCGTGTATGTTCGGAACACTTTCATTCTTCCCAATACGAAGATCGCAATTGGCTAAAAGATCTTGTCGGAGTAAATGGAAACGTCCGAATCAGATTAAAATCGGATGCAGTTCCGGAAATTACGAACGATAATACAGGTACATGAGATGTTGATTGTAAAAATTAAAGAAAAAGATAAAAACTGACATGTTGGAATTTCAGAAATAGAAACTCTTATGTCTGTTGCTGTACAGTGGGATTATACTACACACAGTGATACAATCGTCCCATCATTAAGCTGCACGCAAGAAAATTTATCGAGTGTTGCGAGTGGTGTATCAAACCCTGTCACAGCTACAAACTCTGGTACTTATTAACAGTTCTGCCATACTACGCAAAAAAGTCATTTCTCAAATTTTTACGAAAATTGAAATAAAATATTATTAGCATAGTATGCATTAAAAAAATAAAAATAATCGTATCTTCATGGCACGTTTCATATTATTAATATATGTGTGTACATTTCGTGGTTTCAGAGAACACTTTTAAAAAGACGTCAACCAATCAAGACCATGACAAGGAAATTCAGACAATGAAGGAAAAAAATGCAGAATTGCTGAAGAAAGTGCAATCCCTGGAATGTCAATTAGCTTTAAGAGACAAACGCCATAAAAAAGAACTTGAACAACGGCTAACACTGCAGAGTAAACTACATAAGAAAAAATTAGAACGAAAATTTCGAGAAATGTTAACTCCATTCTTTACACCCGGACAAATACAACTGATTTTGCATCCAGCACAGAGAAAGACCCGATGGTCTTCTGAAGACATCGCATCTGCGATTTCCTTAAAGAGCATTAGTCCTAAGGCGTATCAATATTTAAGAAAAACAAAACGATTCCCTTTGCCGGCTATTTCAACGCTACGAAAATGGGTAGCGACATTTAATATGGATGAAGGTCTTCTGAAAGACATATTGTTAATAATGAACGCCAAAGGCACGAGTATGTCAGATATGGAAAGGACTACTGTGATATGTTTCGATGAAATTTTTCTATCCAATCAGGTCGAGGTGGAAAAAAAAGAAGAGAGAGCTATTGGACAGCACAAAAAGTACCAAGTCGTTGTAGCTCATGGAATATTCAAAAAGTGGAAGCAGCCAATTTATTATGCCTATGATACGGATATTACTAAAGAAATATTGTACGATATATTGATACAATTATTTGAAATTGGTTACACTGTTTACGCAATGACCAGTGACATGAGGCAGAGCAATCAGAGTTTGTGGAATCAGTTAGGAGTAGGAATAAATGATGGACAAAGAACGTACTTCAAACATCCATGCAACGAAGAAGTAAATGTGCACGTTTTCGCTGATCCTCCCCATTTATTTAAATTACTTCGTAATCACTTTTTGGATTCTGGACTTCATATAAATAATAAGTTCATCACAAAAGCGCCATTACTAAGATTATTAAAACTAAATTCCGATGATTTAAAGATTGCCCATAAATTAAGCGAAATCCACTTAAATGTTCAAGGTCCACTGCGCCAAAATGTTAAACTTGCAACACAGCTGATTTCTGCAACAAATGCAGCTGCTATTGAATGGTGTGGTGAACGCGGATACATGGAAAACTGTCCACAATGGGCTGAAACGGCAGAATTTTTAAATTTATTTAACGCATGGTTTGACGTTTTTAATAGTACATGCAAATATGGACATCATGCGGGATTGAATGGTTATGGAGTTGACATTGACAAACAAAATGAGATCCTTTCTAAAGTAAAATCGACAATGCAAACTATGACGGTCGGAGAACAAAAAATAATGCTCCCTTTTCAAAAAGGATTCATTCTAAGCACTTGCTCATTACAACGTCTTTCTTCGGATTTATTAGAAATATTTCATACGCCACATTTCGAAATGTCATATATTACAACAAATCGATTAAATCAAGAAGTGTTAGAAAATATGTTTTCATACTTCCGAGCAATAGGTGCTGCGAATGACAGACCAACCGCGCTGAAAAAAAAAAATCGTAAAATTAATAAGCGCAATAATTAACTATTATTTTTATTATTAACTATTATTATTTAATATTATTATTAATTATGTTATATTATTATATTAGGTATATATATTATTATTAATTAATATTTATTTTAGTATTTTACGTGTTGTTGTGTATTTTACATGTTGTTGTTGTTATTAATTATGTTATTATATTATGATATTATATGTTATTATTAATTAATATTTATTTTAGTATTTTACGTGTTGTTGTGTATTTTACATGTTGTTGTTGTTATTAATTATGTTATTATATTATGATATTATATGTTATTATTAATTAATATTTATTTTAGTATTTTACATATTGTTGTGTATTTTATGTTCATTTTAATATCTATCTTAGTATTTTATTTAACATCTGTTTATTGTTATTTCTTTCTGCACACAAAATCATTTTTAAATATATTTCACATATGCCGCGCAAAATGGCGGAATTCAGTCTTGCTTGCTATTGGCTAGATATAAAGGCTGCGCAATAGCAAACCTTGTTACTTCGACCATGTGTCCACGGTGCTAGGCCGGTATTCATAGTCAGTTCTTATTTGAAGACTGTCTTAAGTAATGTCTTAAGGTGCTAAAGCGACCCTCCGATTGGTTCGTAACTCTTCAAGACTGAACTTAAGACGGTCTTGAATATAAGAACTGACTATGAATACCGGCCCTAGAGCTCGATTCGAGTTCTTGGATCCAGGAATGTGCATGGTGGACAATATCCAAGGTGAACCATTGCGCATAATGGAGGCATTGAATGTGTGGCTTAAAGTTTCGACCAATCAGTTGTTACCCAAGCGGAGACGCGCGTATCTTAAGTGTACAAATTATTAATTGGAAATTAAAACATATGATGCATGGAAAATTAAATATATTAAATATAAAATATAAAATGAATACAAAATATGAATATAAAATATTAATGAAAATAACATGCATAAACGAAACAATTTGACAAATTGATACTTTATTGACACTTCTACATATGATAACAGCACGCGACAACACTCACAAGTAAAGTTACCTTTCCGTGACTCGCCGAATTTAATGAAACTTGATACATTTGTACAGTAGACAAAAATAATAAACACGTATTTTTTTATATCGGCAATGGTGTAGATGTAAGGGGTGAAACACCTCTTTGAAAAAAATCGGTTTTTCTCTTTCGAACCTAATATCTTCAAAACTATAAGAGGTAGAAAAAAATTCTACAATGAGAATTGAATGGTTGCAAGAGTACTTTACAACTGAAATAAGAAAAATTTTTTTTAATATTTATTTATTGTACACCTTCCACCCTCCATTCTTATTTTCAAAAATTTTTTAATTTTTTATTTGACAAAAATTAAAAAGCATTTTACGCTGAAAACAACGGTGTATATTTAAATCACGTTCCGAAAAACCATTTTTGAGATATGAACAAAAACGTCTCATTATATACGCTCTATACGTATTCGTATCGCGTTGGGGGCTCAAGATACACCGTTCAACGAATGCAGTCCAATACGCATCAATATCGTACTAGCTATTATAATCAGAGCTTTTTACAATAATAATATCATAATAATAACAATAATAATGTATATAATGATAATAATAATGATAACATTAATAGTAACAGTGACTTTGTTAAATTTCCGAAACCAGACAATGGCGGATTTCTGCAATGAATTCGAACTATTTTCTTCCGCTCTTTGCCGAACCCAGGAATAACCGACGAGGAGGTGACGAGAGTCTATTCCCATTTTGTTTTTTATAATTTTTTATAATTTTTCCATGTTTTTATGGTTTTATATTATTTAGATTTTTTCTTAATTTTTTCAACAATTACGTGTTATTCCCACCTCTATGTTCATTTTTTCATTTCTACGCTACATATACTCTTTGCAGAAATGATATGCAATTAATGAAATCTTGTATGCACAAAGATTTTGCACACCAAGCGCACTTTATGACTGCTATATTATTACATAATAATTCGCAGATAGCTTCACAATTTTTAAAAGAATAATCTACTGGATTATCAAAATGAAGTGGTTTCTCTTGTAAGTATCCACTTTTGTACCATGAATACTTAAATAGATTCATAAATAGCGGAAAGGATAACTGATTATGAATAAGCGATTGCAATTTGATAACGTTGTTTCGTAAATGTAAAGTTATGTCGTAATTATATTTACAAAACAATTAAATCAGAAAAATATTTAATAAAATTTTTCCAAATTCTGAAACCAAAGAGGTCGAGAGGTTGAATCATCCCAGTTGTTCCTGCAGGAATTGTTAAAATTTTAATATTTTTTGATAATTTATCTTATTATTGTTTCAAATGTTTTTGAATTGTGGCCACTACATGAAGCATACTATATATTGCTATTATAAACAAGATATGACTTTGCATTACCAAAATCTTAAACATTATAGTTTCGTAGGTCGAGTTGGTTTGACGGTTATAAAAGTTTTATATTTCGGACGACTTGCATTTGCAATGTATTAACAAAATAATGATTTTTATCGTCACCGAATTGATTAGTAAATGACTGTGTTAACGACATGGATTACTCGGAGGTGAGTTTTTTGTCAGAGGGACAATTGCTTGTCACATCAGGAGACGCGGTAGTGTCTCCGGCCATGTTCAAAAACTGCGAAACGCTACAAATCTCTTATCCCGAGCCACTAAAGTCCATTTTTGGGAGGTGCATAGTTATGTTAGTAGTTACTAAAATATAAAAAAATTTTGAATCGAACGTTATATATCCTGTAAGGCGGCATCGCCACGAGTAATTTGAGCCAAAAAAATTTTAAATCGGTCAAGCCGTTCTGGAAATATAAGCGGTCGAAAAGTGGTGATTTTAATGAAAAATTAAGAAACGTCTCCTTCTTCTCCTTCTCTGTCCGTATTTTTAAACTTTTCAACATCCTCTCTCACCTTTCACTCGCACCTCCACCAT